GCCTATGTCTACACTGGTGGCTCCTTGCACAAGAACTTCTTGCGCAAGGGTTCTTGTGCAAGGATTCCTGTGCAAGAACACGCCCACACTGCCATGTGTGAGGCGTGCTTTTGCTCAAGAGCACCCATGGCAGTGTGGATGCGCAGCAGAGGTTCTTGCGCAATAAAACTCTATAGCTAAAATAGCTTTCTTGCTCAAGAGAGCGTCCACACTTATGCTTTTTGCGCAAAAGCTACGCTCTTTTCTTACACATGGAAGCTGTCTTGGCAAGAGCTCTTGCACAAGAGAGCTTACACTTGTAAGAAAAGAGCGTAGCTCTTGCGCAAGACGCCGTCTCTTACCACGCCGTACTGTACATCTCCTTGCGCAGGAGCGGGTGGGCAGTGTGGATGCACGGCGGATTATTGCGCAAGAACAGCCGTTCTGGCTCAAGAAGTTGCAAGTGTAGGCATAGCCCTAGGCTACGTCTACACTGGTGTGTTCTTGTGCAAGTATGGCCATTCTTGCACAAGAATCTGCAGAGCATCCACACTGCCCACCTGCTCCTGTGCAAGGAAATTTACAGTGCGGCGTGGTAAGAGAGGGCTTCTTGCGCAAGAGCTAAGCTCTTTTTTGACAGGTGTAAGGCCTCTTGCACAGGAGCTCTTGCGCAAGAGAGCAGTGTGGAGGCTCGGCAGGGATTTCTTGTGCAAGAAAGCCCTATGGTTAAAATGGCCATCAGAGCCTTTTTGCACAAGAAAGTGTCCACACATCCATGGGTGCTCTTGCACAAAAGCACAGCTCGCACATGGCAGTGTGGACGTTTTCTTGCGCAAGACTTCTTGCACAAGAAGCCTCCAGTGCAGACATAGCCCTAGTATGGTTATTGAGCAATGCAAGTGGTACCTAGACCACAGCAACAGTTAAGCTAAAGAGACCTCTACAGCATAGGCTGGGAGCCAGCTGGCTTTTAGCTCAGGGTATGTCTACACTACCCCGCTAGTTCGAACTAGCGGGGTAATGTAGGCATACCGCACTTGCAAATGAAGCCCGGGATTTGAATTTCCCGGGCTCCATTTGCATAACCGGGGAGCCGCCATTTTTAAAACCCCGCTGGTTCGAACCCCGTGCAGCGCGGCTACACGGGGCTCGAACTAGGTAGTTCGAACTAGGATTCCTATTCCGAACTACCGGTACACCTCTGGGCATCTCCAAAGTGAGACTGAATCTCCGTTAATTGGCGACTCTGCCGAAGGCTCAGCCTGGAGCCCGGTGGGGATTCAGGGCTGGTCCCATGGGTTCTGGAGGGGATTTAAGGCCCAGGCAGAGCCGGGAGGCTGGAGGAAGCGGTGGGAAGCTGTGAACTCGGCAGCAGTGCAGAGCAAGACGCGGGTGCAGCCCTGGCCAGCTTGGCAGCGCATTAGGGCTAGTGGGTGGGTTCCATGTTCCCAGGCTGGGCCCCTCACCCGGGCGCTGGGCCGGGCTGGAGAGGACGCTGGATGTGGCCACAGGAGTCCCGGCCGGGGCAGAAGGGAAGAATCCCAGTCAGCTGGAGCCGCCTCTGCCCATGCAGCCAGTGTAAGGCGCCTGCTTTGGTACCCATCTTCTCGTGCTGCCCTCGGTCTCTGCCTGTCTCTGGCCTGGCCCTGCCGCCCCCGGGGCCTGTCAGCTGGGGGTGTTCTGTAGAGAACCAGCCACCCAGCCCCCGGCCCCATCTGTGCAGCACCTGCCTTCCTGGCCCTGGCTGTGTCTGTGTCAGTGTCACTGATCTGCTTCCCTTTGTCCACCTAACCCCACCGCTGCCCTCTCCCCTGCAGCACTGCCCCTCCCTGTCCACCATAACCCCTCTGCCAGACTCTCCGCTGCCACCCTGCCTCTCCTATAAGGGGAATCTCTCTAGCAAAATTCCAACAGACACTTCATTATTGTCCTTCAAATCTAACCTAAGCCCCCCTGCCCAGCTGGGAGGACACAGTGTGTATTGGGGGGGGCAAGCTGTGAACTGCGGGAAGAATGGAGGTGACTTGGAGCCAGGCAGCACCCTGAGATTCCACACTCACAGCTGTTGCTCTTCCTTGCTCTTTTGAACCTTTAAATAACCCTCCCAACAAATCGTATCATTAACCAGGCTGGGGCTATTCCTCCAACCATCATGACTTTGTGTGCTCCCCCTTGCTTAACGCAAACCCGTGCCAGCCTGCACGTTTGTAACAACAAGGCCCAGCCCCAACACAGGGCTTCCCTATGCACACGCCCCTCCCCCCCAGGCAGGGAGGTGAGACAGAGAACAAACCACAAACAGCTGGATTAACCACATCTGGGAGACTCCAAATTCTTCCCTGGTTGGCGTGGGAGGTAATTGATAAACTAACCTGGCAAAACTGAAACTGCACAAGGGAGTAGAGAAACTAGACTAGATTAGAATAGACTAGACTAGACTACATTAGAATGCTCCCCTTTGTCTGTTCATCTCTGGACTGTAGGCTCTTCAAGGCCAACAGATTTTCCTTATGTTCATCGCCACCAAATCTAGCATTGCAAGGACAGAAATATTCCCCACTCATTAAGGGTTGGGGCAGTGGCTGGAAGAGTGAGCATAACAGCTGTCTTTTCTTTCTGTAACTCACTTGCTGTGTTTCTCTCCCCTACCCAGGAAAGAGACCCAAATGGGGCAGGTCAACCACACGGTGGTGACTCATTTCATCCTTTTAGGGATCCCCAACACCGATGGCCTCCAGACCATCCTCTTCTTCACCTTCTTAGCCTTCTACCTCTGCACCCTGGTGGGCAACCTGCTCATTTTATCAGCCATTTTCGGCGACCCACGCCTGCACACCCCCATGTACTTTTTCCTCTGTAACCTCGCCGTGCTAGACCTTGCATTCTCTTCTGTTAGCATCCCCAAATTGCTGGCCATCCTCTGGGCCAAGAACAGAATAATCTCGCTGGGCGGGTAACCCCCGCACTAGCCTCTCCCCTGCAGCCCTTCCCCGCCTCACCTGCCATAGCCCCCCCGCCAGTCTCTCCCTGCAGCCCTGCCGCCTCTCTATGGGGAATCTCTCTGGCAAAATGCCAACAGACATTTGATTATTGTCCTTCAAATCTAACCTAAGCCCCCCGCCCAGCTGGCAGAACTCAGTGTGTATTTGGAGGTGGGAGACTAAGGGCCTGTGGACCAAACTGTCAAGCATGGGTAGGATGGGGACCACGTTGAACCATTACCACCCTGTGATTCCACACTCGTGGCTGTTGCTATTCCCTGCTCGCTCGAAGCATTATAGAACCCCCCTCCCCCCGACAATTTGTATCATTAACCAAGCAGAGGCCTGTAGTAAGTTAAGGTTTGCAGGCATGAGTAGAGGCCTATAACATGAAAACAGCCAGACGCCTGAAATCTAGTGAGCAAGACACAGTAACACAGGAGCCCAGAAAGAGGCCCTACTGATGACTGTGTAATTGTGTTCGGTGGAGCATGGAAGGACATAGGGAGGCACCGAGTACAGACTGTAAGTCAAAGCGGAGGAGTGGAATAGCTCAATAAGAAATGTCTTGGTACAAAGACTCCCCAAAAACCAATGCACATACTGACCTAGGTTCAGGACTGTGCCGAACTTGACAGCATGAAGGAGAGTAAGTGAGCCCCCTTTCCGTAAGGTGAGGGGTGGTAACTAGGCAGCAGAGGTAACCTGGTATGTAAAGAAGTGATGTACATTGTTTGTACCTGTCTGTAAAAGGAGACCGCACAGGGTACTCTCTGGCCAACCGGGGGGGGGGAGGAGGGGTGGGTGCACTAAGTGCCTGAACAGCAGGTGTCATTGCCTAGACTTACAGAACGCACAGGTGCCTAACTCTGGCTAACCGTTGTCAATATCTGTTCTACGGCAATAGGCCTGCCCGGTGTTGGAACCTTGTCAACGCAGGCCAAAGGTGCAGTGGTGTAGCGCTGAGAATTTCTGCTACCAACTGGTAGAGCTTCGTATATGACAATAAACCTGCTCGATTGATTTCAAACCTTGCCTGCATCTGTTGTTTCTGGGAGCTCTCAGAGATCTCCTGTGTTGATCCACGTTCACGGGGTCTAAACTCTAGATAAAGGGAGCACTGATCGTTACGCACGCAGCCAAAAGTTTATCATCACTGACGGAGTAGAGGTCCTGTCATGAGCGAGCTGGGACAACTCTGAGAACCCTGACCAGCAGACACCACGCTGGCAGTATAACACTGGCAGTACAACAGGGCCATTCTTCCCAATAGTCATGACGTTGTGTGCTCCCCCTTGCTTAACACAAACCCGTGGCAGCCTGCACAATTGTAACAACACAGCCCAACCCAAACACAGGGCTCCCCTGCGCACACGCCCCCATCCCCTCCTCCCATTGACAGGGTGGTGAGAGAGGGAACAAACCACAAATGGGTGTATTGACAACTTCTGGGGGAGTCCAAACTCTGCCCTGGTTGGCGGGGTAGGTAACTGAACAGGACTGAGGAAAGTGAAACAGCGCAAGGGAGTAAAGCAGCTAGACTGGACTAGACTAGACTAGACTAGAGCAGACTAGACTGGAATGCTCCCCTTTGTCTGCTGGTCTCTGGTTTGCAGCTCTTCAAGGCCGACATATTCTCCGTATGTTCAGCGCCACCAAATCTGGCATTGCAGAGACAGAAATATTCCCCATTCTTTATGAGTTGGGGCAGTGGCTGGAAGAGTGAGCATCACAGTTCTAGCTTGGCAGGTCTTTGGTTTCTGTAACTCACTGGCTGTATTTCTAACTCCTATCCCAGGAAAGAGACCCAAATGGAGCAGGCCAACCACACGGTGGTGACTCATTTCATCCTCCTGGGTATCCCCAACACCGACGGCCTCCAGACCATTTTCTTCTTCACCTTCTTAGCCTTCTACCTCTGCACCCTGCTGGGCAACCTGCTCATCCTATCAGCCATCCTTGGTGACCCCCGCCTGCACACCCCCATGTACTTCTTCCTCTGCAACCTTGCTGTCGTGGACCTTTCATTCCCTTCCGTCAGCATCCCCAAATTTCTGGCCATCCTCTGGGCCAAGAACAGAACCATCTCTCTGGGCGGGTGCATGTCTCAGGTCTTCTTCTTCCACTTGTTGGGCAGCACCGAGTGCCTGCTCTACACCGTCATGGCCTACGACCGGTACGTGGCCATCTGCCACCCGCTGCGCTACCTGCTCATCATGAACCGCAGGGTGTGCGCCCTCCTGGCTGCTGGCTGCTGGATCTCCAGCTCCTTCCACGCCACCATCCTCTCCAGCCTGACCTTCACGCTGCCCTACTGCGGGTCCAACGTGGTGGACTATTTCTTCTGCGATATCTTCCCCGTGGCCAAACTGGCCTGCGCGGACACGTACATCATCCAGACTGTGGTCTTCACCAACACTGGCATGGTGCCCGTAATCTGCTTCCTCCTCATCCTCATGTCCTACATGAGGATCGTCTACTCCGTCGTGAAGATGAACTCGGCCGAAGGGCGGCGCAAAGCGGCCTCCACTTGCGCCTCCCATCTGACTGTGGTGACGCTGTTCTTCGGGCCCAGTGCCCTGATCTACACCCAGCCTGAGCTGAACATGGTGATGGTGACGGCTGTGGAGCTGTTTGGCTCCGTAGTGACACCAATGCTGAACCCGGCCATCTACACCCTGCGCAATAAGGAGGTGAAAGCGGCTCTGAGAAAACTGACCGGGGGTCAGAAGCCTGCATGTTGATGTGGTATGTGGGGCTGCAGGGAAATACACCTACAAATACAGTTGTATGTCTGCTCCATGGCCTTTGTGACCCTCTCTCCTCCCATCCCCATCTAGCTCTCAGAGCGAGAAATCCAGGAATGCTCCTCCCAATCCCGAGCTGTCTGTGATGGGGTGTAGGGCTCACTTGGCCAAAGCTGGCTAAGGGACGGGGCGCTCAGTCTGCCTTCAAATACATAGGAACCGGACAGCCAATCCTAGTAGACGCCTGGAAATCTCAGACTTATTACACAGACCTATGTACCTCAGATTCTGTAAGTGCATCATTAAAACCAGGTTTTCTGAATCCTCCCTGATTTCCTGCACCTGTCTGGGATGGTGAACTCCAGCATGGGACACAGCATAGGAGGAGCAATGCCAAGCAGCAAGGTGGCACCACCTCTTGGAATGTCTTCGAGAGGCTTCGCTGTATTCCCAGGCCTAGTGTTAGCGCCTTCCCCGTTACCAGCTGGTCCAGGGCACAGGAGCAGGAGAGAGCGATGGGCCCCTCACTTCTTACTGGGCCTAGCAGCAAGTGATGGAAGGAGGCAGGGGACAGGGTGAAGAGGGGAGCAAACCTAACGCCAACAGATGGAACCGAACCTGGGACCTGCATGAGCCAAACGCCAGCTGTCTAGCGGCCAAGGCTGCGGATAGATTCGTTATCCCCCCAGTAAGCGGTCTCAGTGCCACTAGACGGGACAGTGCACCACACCCAGCAGGCGTGTGGGTAACATGAACACATTTCCGGTGAAGTAGCGTCCCAGGGCGAATCATTGTCCATGTCCTAGTGGCCCCATGACACACACTTAGGCAGCTTCTGTCGCTCCTGCTCCTGATTGGGGGATAGGTGGGAGGAGTTTGTCGGGGACAAGGCTTGGGATGGATGTCAGTGGAGGGGGGTGGGTGGGGAAGGCTCGGTCAGTGACATCAGTGAAGGTACCTGGGGTGTGGACAGGGTAGAAGGAGAGTCCGTTCATGCCAGGGGTCATGAGGGCAAGGCAGGCAGCCAGGGCAATGGCATCATCTCTCTGGGGCTCCCTTCCCCTCCGGTGACTCTGGGGTAACCATTTTTCCTTTCTCCCCCCGATGCTCTGGGAGCTCTTAGGGGCGGGGCTGTCTCTGGCCAGCTGGGGGGCAGCAGCTGCCTTATGACTGGGCCTCCCGGCCGGCGTACAACAGGAGTACTAATGCCTGGCCCAGAATTGTCCTGACTTCTTTGACGTGAGTCTGAAGCTTGTGCTCTTGAAATGCAAAAGCAATAGACTGATAAAGTCCAAGGCTCCCGGGTAGGTGCTGAGACCCGGGCCCGACCCCTCC